AAAGGGAAGAAAGGTCGCTGAGCAACTGCCAAAATGGCCAAGTGTGATAATGCTAGGGAAATTATGGACAACAGATTATTATGCTGTTGTTGCTATTGAGTCAGCTCCGACTCATTGTGACCTTGTATAGGGTTTCTGAGGAGCAGCTGGTAAGTTTCAATCCTCAACCTTGCAGTTCAAACCAACCTTGCAGTCAAGTGCTTATAGAATCTTATTGTTGTTGCTATTAAGTGCAGTTGAGTTGGTTCCAATCCATAGTGGCCTGTGTATAGGGTTTCCGAAGAATGGCTGGTAAGTTCGAACCACTGACCTTGCAATTCAAACTGACTTTTCAATCTAGTGCATTAACCCACAGTGCCACACCAGGGCTCCACATAGAATCTTATAGGTTCCCACTATACGTAAAAGAGATAAATATGTTGCTGTATGGTTGCAAATGGCAGAAATAGAAAGGATTAGATATTCTTGAACAGGGGGAGGCAAGTGGGATGCTCAGCTGTTTACTGAAAGTTTGGAGGTTCAATCCACCCTAAGTTCAAGTATCTTTAAAGAAAGGCATAGTGATTTACTTCAGAAAAATGAAAAATCAGCTATTGAAAACCCTGTAGAGCACAGCTCTATTCTGACACATATGGGATCATCATGAGTCAAAATCTACTCAATTGCAACTATCTTAGGTCTGGTAGAATGTATTTTGAAGACTATTACCTAGGATATCCTGGTATGGCGCTGTGGGTTAATGCGCCAGACTGCAAAGCTGTTTGAACTGCAAGGTTGGCAGTTCAAGCTCACCAGCTGCTCCTCGGATATCCTATACAGGGTAGCTATGGGTTGGAACTGACTCGACGGCATTTAACAACAACAACAACAACAACAACAATCTAGGATATGGAGTTCTGGTGTGGTGCTGTGGGTTAAGGTACTGGACTGCAAAGTCAGTTAGAACCACAAGGTTGGCAGTTCAAGTTCACTAGCCACTACTTGGAAATCCTATATAGGGTCGCTATGAGTTGGAACTGACTCGATGGCACTTAACAACAACAACAACCTAGGATATTGTAACCTTTGGGATTTCTTTTATTAACAGGCAAGGATTTTTTTCAAGACCTAGTTTGTTAAAGAGCCCAAAGTAAAAGAGAATAAAACTAGTGATTGAGAATCATGATAGTAAAGAAAATCTCACCCATATAGTGGGGGGTAGGGAGTAGGGGGAATTCAGGCTCTTGTTTACCCTATTACACCAAGATCTCAGCAGGACTTATTCCTTATGAAAACTGTTTTTAAGTCATAACTGAGCCTTTCAGTGGAAGCCAGTTTCAACTTAGTAACATCTAAATATATCTGAACCAACAAGCCCTTAAAAAAGCACTGTCAGAAAAGGCCACGGATGCTGGGGCATTTTCTGCTAATCTTAGGGAAACCTCAATGTTCAAAGATATAATCTTAAAGGTGCATTTAATAACAAACTATTTACTAGTTACCATCTAGTCACTTCTGACTCATGGCAAACCTGAATGTGTCAGATTAAAACTGTGTTTCATAGTGTTCTCAATGGCTGATTATTCAGAAGTAGATCATCAGGCATTCTTCCCAGTCATCTCTGGGTGGATTCAAACTCAAACCACCACCTTTTAGTTAACAGCTGAAAAGCATTGTCATTTGCAGCACACACACGCCAATGAAACTTTAGTGCCCTGGCTTTTTTCCTTATTTAGGAGTGGTTTGAACCACAGGTTTTAATCTTAGACATTAGATTGTGATTATAAAACCAAGCTAAAGTATACAGAATGAAGAATAATTTTGAAGGAATCTCTGCCCAAATTAGAGCCTTCGAGATCAGAATGATCCAGTGATTTCTAGGTGTTTCAAGGACATAGAGCATCTTGGGTGGTGGTTGGAATCTGCACTTGGTGATTAATAGATGGTGGATATGACTCTCCTTGCCCTTATGCAAATGATGGGAGTTGAATGCTTTCTCTCTACATTGCACCAGGTTTCACATACTCACCTGGGAGAGGCTAGGCCTCAGGTTTCTAGCTGGCACTTCCCTGTCTAGGGAAATAGGGAAATGCCATTTATTTAGAGGGGTTACATTTTGGAAATGAAGGCACATTTTTGGGTCACACACAACCCAGGTGCCACAGCACCTTTGGCCTCTTCTAACAGGGCACACTAATTCACCAACTAGAGCATGGATCTCAGCCAGCCCCACCTGTCCTGTGATTTCAGAACAATCTGAACTTTTCCTTGGGAGGATACTGGTTCCCCAGGATGAATGAGTGATAGAGGATTGCATGGAGTTCCCTGAACAGCTTCCCATTTCCCAACAGTGAAGCTATCTGTTTGGCTATGTTAGTTTAATCCTAGAGCAGATGAGCTCACACTTGCTGCTCCGAGGAGAACAACAGGCCATCATGTGGGAAATGGAATGATGTGATTTGAGAAGCTGCCTTTTTACAAGTATATTTTGTAAGCAAGACCCAGGTATATTTATGATCCTGAGTTCTTCCTCTGTATATCCCCATCAAACATGCTCTCATTAGATAAGCCCAAATCCTAACAACAACATAAAGCATCAAATGGGAAAAGAACTGAAAATCTGTTTCAAAGATATTGAGTGTGGCTCTTGAGTGTGTGACATGTTAACAATGAGCCACTTTTTATGAAGTGTCTGGGAAAGCATTTGTCTGTGATGTCAAGTTTCAAAGAATGCTTGCCTTAAAATCAGGTTGTGAGTTTTGACAATTCAGCTTCCAACCAGGGAGACATTTCTCATGTGCCTCCTATGCCAGGGGGAAATGCTACCGATCCCTCACTGTTGTTGTTGTTAAGTACTGTGGAGTTGGTTCCGACTCATAGTGAGCCAGCACAGGGTTTCCAAGGCTGTAAATCTTTACAGGAGCAGAAAGCCTCATCTTTCTCTTGCGGAACATCTGGTAGTTTTGAACTGCCGACCTTGAGGTTAGCAGCCCAATTCATAACCATTACACTATCAGAGCACCTTCTTACCTATCCCACATAGGACAGCAAAACTTACTTTCACTTCCATTTTTTTCTTATAAGACATGCTGAATGTAGCCTACTGCAGTTTCTTAGCTGAAGAGTTAAAACCTTCACAACTTCACCCCACAAAAATCTTGAGAAGACAAGAAGAAAGTGTACTATTTTTATTTGCATTTTAAGAAATTCAAGGTTGTATTTTCATCACTGAATAGAGAAGTCACGCTCTCTTTCATTCATATCTCAGCTTTTTGGTAGTAAATCATTTGAAATTATCTGAGATGAAGAGTCAAAGCAATAGAACACTTCAAAAAACTGAGTGTTCAGGTTATTCAGAGTAAGGAGATTAGGCCTTACCTGGTCTTCTTTAATGATCCCATTCTTCCTGCAGTTTCCACTTTGTGAGCCATTGCTCTGTTTCTTGTGATTGTGTAGATTCCCATTGCAAACAGCACCACCTCCAGGATTAGCCATTTGTGTGAAATGATGGAGCCCTGCAGTTTTGCTTCCAGAGGTTCCCAGCAAGCTTTTTGTTTTCAAGTTGGTGAGGAGATGGGATAAAACACTTCGGGGCTGAGCCCTTAAAGGAATCCTACCAATCAGGCTGTTCCAGAAGAAGTGCAACAGCCAATCTTTTTGCCAAATCTTTGAATGAAAAACAAACGGTTACCTTTGCACTTCTTAACTTCAAAGAGTCAGAATGTAAACTCCATGGCAACAAACCTGCATTCAAAAAGACAAAGGAAGGTGCCGGTGCTGACTCCTGGTGTTGACTGAAGAAATCTGGAGACTGAAGAAACCAATGCAGAATGTGAAGAGGCGGGCTGAGAGATGGAAAACCTTTTAAAGACACACACACATCCACAGTCCACTCACTCTGAGTCTTCTAAGTAAGGTCAGTTCTGAATTTGCACCCACTCGCCAACCCCCCTCCCTCAAAACTAATTCCATTCTTTGGCTGTCAACCAAGCTCAAAAGTCAACATTTCTTTTTGCAGAAAAAGAATATTCAGAACTCACCAAGCTTTAAAACCAGTAATTTAATAAGGGGTACCAACTCATGAAGTATTTCATTTAGACAGAATCTGAGAGATAGAATATATGATTCTAGTAATGACTTCATTACAATGATCTCAGGAGCTTGGGGGACTCATTTACCCTCTTCATGTCTCAGCTTCTATACCTATAAAACAAAATTTGATGGAATAAGTCTGCGGGTGAATAGGAAAATAGAATTGTGACATATATATTTTTACTGACACAGGTGTGTGAGACAGATGGTGCCTTGAGGGTTTAGTTCAGAAACACCTCTGGCTTATTCATTAACTCTTACTCTCTAAATGCACATCTGTTTTCATCATCAAATGGTATTATGGTGACATGGTCTGCTGGAGAGTGTCAATTATTGATAGCCTGTTTGTGTCCTCCAAACCCACTCTCATGGTTCCCCTGAATTGAAACTTCAATAGCAAGCACCTAGAAAAGAAATCCATTTACTTGGTCACTGTACAGACAACAATAAACACAAAATCAGAAACAACCTCCTGTCCTGGTTCTCAGTTTTCTTGGGCTGGAGCTTGTTCTTCTACAAAATGATGTGACTTACAGAATGAGGACACAATGGTAATGCTTCTCCTAACCATGGTTTAAGGAGCTCTGGTAGTGGTTACATGTCAGGCTGCTAACCTCAAGGTCAGTAGTTTGAAACTACCAGCTGTTCCACAGGAGAAAGATAAGGCTTTCTTCTCCTGTAAAGATTTACAGCCTTGAAAACCCTATGCAGGATCCCTATGAGTCAGAACCAACTACACGGCACACTCCACCAACAACCATGGTCTGCATGTGAGAGTCTTGGGCCAAATGATGGAAGGAATGTGTGCATCCTGGTTTGTGTCTCAGATTCAAGAATCTTAGAACATCTTTTCCAATCTTTATTATCAGAGAAGAACTAGATTTTTACTGGCCTGTCTCTTTCTAAGCTACCACATGGGAGTTTGTAGCTAAACTTGTATTAATTTTGTTTTTCTTTTTAAGATTTTTGCAAAAAAGAGATGATGAGGTAGGAAGGAGCACTGATTACTGGTGTCCTGAATGCCTCAGGTTACTTAGAAAGGCAAGTTTAAGAAACCATGGTGTTATTTTCGTCAGGCCATATTGACTAGCACAAAGATAATTTTTAATAATGATTCTGAGGTACAATATATTCACTGGCTGAATTCTGAACATTAGGTGTCTCTATTCCTCTCCAACTTTTTCCTTGAATTTCCTTCTTCTCTTTACCATTTTTCCTTTTGTCTCTCCTACTGTCCCTCTTCCTTTTTCTTCTTCTTTTTTTAACTTTCTTTTTATAAGCAGAAAAATACCATCTATATAGAATATGTCTCAAAATACAGTCTGAACTCTATTTTTTGCTAAGATTGGTGGTGGTGGTTGTGTGCCACTGAATCGGTTCTTACAGCACCCTTTATAGGGTTTCTGAGGTTCTAAATCTTTACAGAAGCAGAAAGCCTCATCTTCCTCCTGAGAAACGACCAGTAGATTTGAACTACTGACCTTGTGGTTAGTAGTGCAGCTCATAATACATTAAGCTACCAGGGCTCCTTTTGCTAAGATTAGAATCACAAGACCACCTTTAGAAAATATCTATGGTATACTCTTACTCTTAAAACTTTTCTATTTTACTAACATATTAGAATATGTGACTTGTTGTGTGAGCTAAATACACCCATCATTTGACAACAGTTGCTTTTGCTATGTATCATCAGCAGTGGCTCATTGTTCCATATCATCTCCAGTCAAAATAAATGTGAAAGTCTGTTTGTGTGACTGGTATATTTCTGAGTTTATGAATATAGATCAACACAAAACCACAGAATAATTATTTAACATGATGTGGGGTGTTTCTGAATAAAGAAATGCATTTCAAATCAACAAGTAAACCCAAGAATATTTTAATATACCAGATTATTAGCTAAGACTTTGAATACAACAGTAATTAAAACACACATGGTCTCCAACCTCACTAAACTGTGAGTCAGCAACTTCTGTATGTCTTAAACTCATGATGTCTCATTATTGAAGGTAAGAAAAATAAATCTTTTTTTGTTGTTTTGTTTTTTAGTGTTTTAAAGAGAAAGGTCAAATTAGTTAGAAATGCTCTAGTAGTGTTCTTTGTAGGGACTTCTTGTTCAGTAGCCAGTTTCTTGACTCTGCTCTTAATTGGTCAGGCACAAAGAAGATAAGGGAGTAACGGTGGGAGTATTACATCCTGGAAAAACTCAGAACCACATGGGGTTGGAAGGTTGACAGACAAGGGAGGAAAATGGTAAAACAGTCATATAGTACACTGTCTAAATCTATTCACCCTCAGTGACTCTGTATTTAACTATATAATGGAGAAGGATACTGGTGAGAAAACTAATGTTCCAAGTGATTGAATGACTATTCCATGTCACCGTAATAATATGGGGCAGAAGTATATGGTGAATCCAGGAATCTGTGGATTTAAACAACCGAAACCTCTTTTTAGCAGTTGACTTGGGAACCATAAACTACAAAGACAATAAATATCAACAATAACTGTTAAGATTTTGGGAAATTTCATTGAATTGGTCACTAATAAATGAATATTTTTTATTTTGCCTTCCTGATCTACTTAACTCCTGCAATCTATTAAATAGGAGCAAACATCTAGTAATTAATGATATCTCAAGATCTGCTCACAACCATGGGATACTTCTACATACCAAACAATCAACCAATCCACTGCCATTGAATCAACAGTGACTCACAGTGACCCTATAGGGCACAGTAGAAATGATCATTAGGGTTTCCAAGGCTGGAAATCTTTATGGAAGCAGACAGCCTCATCTTTCTCTGCAGAGCTATGAGTGACTTTGAGCCACTTGCAGTTAGTTATTAGCCCAATATGCTTAGCACACTAAGCATAAAGAAAGTGCTTAAATTACCTGAAATATTAAGTCTCAAACAATTTAGAGAAAATGCAGTTTGAAAGATGGCAGATACATTTACATAAGAAGGCCAAATACTGACATTATAAATGTCATGTTTTGCTTTTTCTTTGTTTCAAAACTTTGACTAAATGTTAGTTTACATTAAGGGGGAAAAAAGCCCTGTTATTAATGACTACCACCCCTACATCACCAACAAGAGGGAAATTTCCTGATTTACTTTATGATATAATCATCCATGGAGTAGGTCCAGTCTGTAGTTGTTGTCAGGTGCCATTGAGTTGATACCAACTCATAGCGACCTTACGCACAGCAGAACGAAACACTGCCCAGTCTTGGGCCAACCTCACTATTGTTGCCACACCTGAGCCCATTGATGCTGCCACTTTGCCAATCCATCTCGCT